AATGATGGTCATGGCTATCATTTGTCTCTCTAACTGCCTCACTGTTTGCTCTATATGCACATGTCTCTAAACTGCTTTATTTGCCAGTGTCCCTGTGCCATTTTGTAAGCGATAGTATGCAAATTGTTGCAAAAACAACAGCAAATAGTTTGTACGCATGCATGCAGCAGCATCCTGGCTATTACCCGGATATAGACAGCTCGGAAATGCAAATTAGCTAAAAAGGCAGCGCCAAGTGTGCATAGACTCATACATGCACATACGCACGGCAAAAACACGATACATAAATGGGATACATGAGAGAATCGGTGAAAAAGAGCACACAGCCGCAGCCAAACACCCACTCCACCTTTTGCCATTTGGAGCGGGTGGCAGCTTATTGCCCACTACTACCAATGCAAGCGGCGGTCGTGTGATGACCCTTCATAATATGGGAAATGATCTTGACAAGAATAATTGCATGTTCGCATAATTAAAACCATTTGTAAGCTCATGCTTACAGGGACATACATACATACATACATATAAACGGTTGAATGCTCATTTGGCAGCAGTTGTCTTGCTGCATTCAAAAAAAAAAAAACAGTAAATACGCAGTGAAAATAATGATAGCTATATCGACGGTGATTTCATTGTTGCTGATGGTAGTACGCTGAGATTTCGCCTTGTTTTTGCTGTTATTATTAATGACTGTCGGGAGTTGTGTTGATGATATGAATTCTCGAGCACATTTTGAATACTCAAAATGACGGTTGTGCAGACTCAATTGTTGCTACTATATTATGAAATCGATATTAGTCTTCGAAAGTTTATGTCAGATTCATAAAAGTACTCATAACTGCCATGGATTGTGTGCTGGCCTTGGGACCCGCCTCCTGACAACTGCATCCAGCGAAAAGTCTCGAAAAGCGGCAGATATATATTGACTCCCCCAACAGTGCCAACTCCCGCAAACGGAACAAGGAACTCTATATCGAAGATAATTGCTCAAATTAAGCAGAAGTATTTAAGTTCAGGTTCTAGGTTAGGAACGACATCCTTAGGGATTTATATACCTCAGACCTTCTTTTGTTCGCCCATCTCGCAGCGCCAGGTACTCAACATTTTAATTCAAATAGAAAGTAACAATATTTAAATTTAAAACTAATTCAAGAATGAACTAAATAGAATTATAATCGGAATTGGCATAGTGAATGCCTAACGCTGACGAGATTACATGATAGGATTAGTAGCCTCATGGCCCTTTGAAATTTACCTTAGGGGCAGTAGCGCCGGCGATTCCAGAGGCGCCATAGACGTCGCCGATTTATTTTGAAGTTGACCACGCCGCCGCCGCCAAGCCTGTCAGCGTAAACCTCTATTTTATAAATTGTCGTAGGTGCTGAAGCTCTCAAAACTTGAGTACTATTGACATGTTTACAACGCCTACGCTTGCTGCAATTTGCAACTGATTTGTCCATGAAGTGGACGCTTACGGGATACTGCAATTATTTGACGCTTCGTTTTGAGATTTTTTAGAAATCGTAATCATTGGAAACACGTTGCCGTTGTATGTACATTAGGGTGGTCAAAAATAAGCAAAGCCGGAATTTTAATGCTCACACCCCCTAGGATTGTTCTATTTCGAGAAAAATAGACCCCTATTTTTATACCTTTCATGAGCATGAAATGGTATTATAACTTTGGTCCGATGTTTGTAAGTACCAGAACAAAAAGAGATAGACCCATGAAAATGTATACTTATATGATCAGAACGTCGAGCTGAGTTGATTTAGCCATGTCCGTCTGTCCGTCTGTCCGTCTGTCCGTCTGTCCGTCTGTCCGTCTGTCCGTCTGTCTGTCTGTTTGTATGCAATCTAGTCTCTCAGTTTTCGAGATATCCGGATGAAATTTGGTAGGTGAGTGTATTTTTATAATGTATTAATCATTTGTCGGAACCGGAAGAATCGGACCACTATAACATATAGCTCCCATACAACTGATTGTTCAGATATGAGATTTTTCATTATAACTTCTCCATTTATGTAGTTAAGAACAAGAAATTTCGCAGCACTTTCACCCATTATCAACAGAATACTTATAGTGAAAATTACAAAGATCGGGTCACTATAACCTATAGCTCCCATACAACTGATTGTTCAGATATGAGATTTTTCGTTATAATTCATCCATTTATGTAGCTAGGAACATGAAATTCCGCACTGTTTTCAATAATTATCTACAGAAAACTTACAGTGAAAATTAAAAAGATCGGGTAACTATAACCTATAGCTCCCATACAACTGATTGTTCAGATATGAGATTTTTCGTTATAATTCATCCATTTATGTAGCTAGGACCATGAAATTTCGCGCTGTTTTCACTCATTATCAACAGAAGACTTACCTCGAAAATAATAAAGATCGGGTCACTATAACCTGCAGCCCCCATACAACTGATTGTTCAGATATGAGGTCTTTTATCATAACTCCTCCATTTATGCAGCTAGGAACATGAAGTTTCGCACCATTTTCACTCATTATTAACAGAATACTTACAGTGAAAATAACAAGGATCGGATGACTACAACATATATCTCCCAAACATCTGATTGTTCAGATATGGGATTTTACTGTAAAACTTCTTTATTTGAACAGCTAAAACCGATAAATTTCGTAAGATATTTTATAAATAATAATACAAAGTCTACTGAGAAAATCGTCAAAATCTATGCTGTATAAGCTTTATCTCCTATAGCACTGATTGTTCAGATACCAGTTTTTGCGATATATCTCCTTTATGTAGGAAACTAAACCCAATAAATTGTGTTACCGGTTTACATACCGATCACATAGCGGTGAAAATCACTTAGATTGGTGTCATATAAAGTATATCTTCCATACCTCTGATTGTTTAGGTGCGATTTTTTATATAAGTATGTAACTCCTCTATCGATGTATGCAGATGTATTCAAAAGCAGTAATCTGTCAAAGTAAAATTTGCAGATGTTCATGAAAGGTATGAAGCCTTCGGCATAGCCGAAGACAGCGCTGCTCTTACTTGTTTATTTTTATATTTGGAACATAGATATTCATGCGTATAATCTACTTGCAGTGAAAGCGAGGTGGTCTAAATGCCCGATTTAGAACTAATTTAAATAGCGTTTAATTCTAAGGTACTAACAAATTTAAAACATTAAAAAGACCCTTACAAATCCAGGAAACGCCAGCCGCGTTGTCAACACAACCCCTCGGCACGTGTGCGGCAACATACAATCTCTTCCTATCTCCGGCGACGCTCACCAATCAGCGACATTTTTAAACCGACCAATGCTCACACAATGCTAACAAACAAATTTGATGACAAAAGGATTTGTGTTTATCGGTATAAAATGCGGCAACAAATGTACATGGAAAAAACTCGCAATAAAATGCATTGCTGCATTTTAAACTTCACATTCATCAGTTGATGCTGTGGATTTCTACCTACATTAAGTGCCAAACGTTGGCGGCAATGTCTGCGTGGATTTTTAGATTTTGAGTTTTCAGTGCGCGATTTGGAAAACAACAAACACACAACAACAAAAATAATACAGGGAATTTGTAAAAGTTAGACATGCGACGTGTATTATGGGGCATTAAGAGCATGAAGTGCGCTTTAAAAGTGGCAGTAGCAGCAGCAGCAGCAGCAGCAGCAGCAGCAGCAACCCGCATAATCCCAGGCGTCAGCAAACCCAAAACAAGCAATGTAACCACCAGCAACAACAATGGAAGGAAAACGTAAAATGAAGTAAGTAATAAAATGTACATAAAAGGTTGGCAAATGAAGCGCTCGAAATCGATGTAGACTGGAGTGTGGGCACTTTACTCTTAAGAGGTGGGAGGCATTCATATACAGTGACTCAAACAATTACCCCGTGTGGATTTTTTTTTTTAAATATTCGTAATGTTTCTTGAGCTACATTGTTTTATAAAAATACCATCCAAGCTTTAACCAAAACCATATAATTCACAGTTTCCAAATTTATAAAAAATTTGGCAAAATTCATCAAAATTTAAATTTTTTAATCGGAATCTTTAGAAAATTTTTGGGTATGCAGTTTTGTAGCCCACACAATTTTTGTAAATTGTACTTGTTATATAAAATAAAACCGCAAAAGCAGTCTCCAAAAAAATTTCTCCAAAATCAGCGCCCGTTGAAACTTGCATTTCATTAGACTAAAATTGTATGGGCTATAAAACTGCATACCCAAAGATTTTCTAAAAAAAAATCAGATTAAAATGTTGAAATTTTGATGAAAATTTATTGAATTTTCCTAAATGTTGTATGAAGTTTGAAACCGTGATTTATATGGTTTCGGCTAAAGCTTGCATGTTATTTTAATAGAAAAATAACCAAAAAGAATTAACTGAATATTAAAAAAAAATCAACACGCGAGTCACTGTACTTACGTACATACATATGGATGTATATATGCTTGTGGATGTCTATATTGTGCGGCCGCCATTTTTACACAACTTCTATGTATGTATGTATATATGTATTTGGGTCTGGGGCGAGTTAACTGTGCTTTGTGTTTGCGCACTTATTCCCTCGACGAACCCAAAACAAAAAAAGTTTTGCAAGCCATACTTCATTCGCTTTATTTTTAACGAAATCCACTCGGATTTGCCTTTCAATAAAAATGCAAATTTTTCAACACCTTCCTACGCATTTGCTGTTCGCTTGCATTTCGTTTTTGCCCTTTATATCAGTTTTTTTAATGCTACCTCACCTTTAATGCTTTTGGATTTAGCATTTTTTTATATTTTTTATTTTGTTTTGCAGTGTCCTATCTCCTTTGAATGAGGAAATCCTAGTTTGGTGTAAAGAATTTTGGGTGTCTGTATTGCTACCATTACTATTCTTGCCCACTTGCCTATTTTGCCTCTTACTTTCTTTTCCCTTTTTTCCAACCTTCCAATTTTATCTGAATTGTTGTTTATATGTTTGCTAGTCTATTAGTTATTTATTTAGCTTACCTTCACTTGCGATTCGGTCATTCCTAAGGCATAGGCGAGTTTCGCCCGTTCTGGCCCCGCCAGATATTTCGTTTGTTCGAATGTCTTTTCCAGCGCAAATATTTGCTGGCCACTAAAAGTTGGGCGGGTGTGCTTCTTCTTGCCATCCTTATCGTTGCCTTGATGGTGTTGATGTGCCTGTGAGAGACTCGCTGACACTGAAAAAAAGTGGAAGGAAGAGAGAAGGATCGTTTAAAGATAGTTGAATATTTATGTAATATATTTAATATTTAGGGTTAGAACTTTATTACGATCGTAGTATATCCACAATGATTTTCTATAAAATTTACTACGCCTCTCTGATATTCCACTTCATCATTTTCTTTCCTAAAAAGGATCGTCTCCCGTTTTAACTCTTACAGAAGTATACTTTAGAATATTTAACAAAGAGTTAATAAAATTTTCGTAATTCCTGATTAGTATTTATGTATCTACATCCATTGTAGTATCCGTATTTATACCCTGACTACAGGGATAAAGAAACGTATTGAATGAAGCTAAAACGTCGAGCTTCGGACACTCAGGAAATTTCTTGTCATATCACTCAATATTATTTTAGGATACTTGCGCCCTAATAACTTACAGCCTGACAGACGCTTGCTAGAAATTGAAGCGCCCTTAAGGAGACTTCCTTCAGAGGAAGTTTTCACTTTGAGATTAGAGACAAAATCTGTACCTACATGAAATAATCATTGTGTCTGATGGTGGTGCTGATTTTGTTATGTTCGTCGATTCTAAGCTATTGAGCTGCCACAACAACAACAAAAACAATAACATTTTGTACTTACAGTCCTACAAGGCGATTCTGGCTTAGATAGTTACAAATATTTTGAAAGATAGTTTGAAAGATTTTGTTTATTCTGGCACGAAAGTCTTTCAAAATAAAGCTCCGTTGCCAACTTTCACGTTGAAAAGGTCTTGTGACAGAACGCATTTTAGCCTGTTCCAAACGGAGATGTGTATCATTTTGCTCACGTTTCTCCAACAGTCGCGATGGCCGAGTGGGTAAAGCACTGACGTGCAATTCAAGAGGTCCCAGGTTCGAGTATGTACATATGTATGTATGTGTCTCTTTCATTTAATTTTTGTAAACATATATTATGTATATTTTTCTTTTTTAATTTAAATTTTTGATTTTATATATTGTTTTAAAATGGATTTTTCAGAAACTTTTTTTATTTGTTAATTTAATTTAATTTAAAAAAATGTATTGTTTTAAAAAGCAAAAAATATTATTTTTTTTAATTCAATTAAATTTTTGGAAATTTATTTTATATATTTTCCCTATTTTTAATATAAATTTTCCTTTTTAAATTAATTTTCTTTTATTTTTTTTTATTTCATGTTTTTTTTTGAAACTAATTTTATTTTGTTAGTTTAATTTAATTTGTTTAAGTGACGTTTTTTTTTTTGTTTGAAAATCTCCTATCTTTTTGGCTAAGTTTAACTATGTACAAATGTTGAGTTTACACCAAGAATATTAAAATATTTTCAGAACTTTTTCGAAAAAATCACCATATGCCCAGTGGTGTGAATAACTGTAAATATGTATACATAAAAGTAGTATTTTATTAATTTTCTATATAAAAATCGAATTTATATTTTTAACGAATCTTCATCGCTTATTATAAATTTTTTCGTTTTTTGATACAAAATAATACATAAAAATATAAAAACCACAAATATTCGTATTTCTCGTTAATAAATTCGAAAGCGACCATTTGCTTGCCAAATCGATTGAAAATCACCGCAAATAAATTACACAAAATTCGCTTACTCTAACCAAAAATAATAATTACACACTAATTAGACATTCAAAGTAAAAAATTACATCTAGCAAATCGAATCAATGCAAATGGAGCCAACTCCTCTAGCCGCCACAATGCCGCACCGAAAACAACTACAGTAACTGTTCATACACACATACATATAATGAGCCCAAAAGTATGCCTCCCGATTGGCTCCACACTGGCACATTTGCACAAAGCGCGCTGGCCATTTAGAGCCGCCCAATGGCCATCAAATTAACAAACGCAAATTGTCCGCAAATTAATTACGTTGTACGCATAGAAAATATACATTAAACTACATGGCAAATAAAATTACAACAAATTACGTATGCCTCGGAATGTTCAAATAAATATGTATCTATATATATATGTGAATAGCAATTTGTTGAAGCGTCCTCTGGCGCCATTTTCATTTTCATGAACAACATGAAAATCAATTAGCCAAACAGGCGACGTACAAATCCTCGCAGCGTGGCAAGAGCACTAAAGCCCAAAGTGACGAGCAGGAGTGCGCAGCAGGTGGTGTAGTGGTAACTCAGTGGTACTATTTATATTCACCCGCACGCCAGCCTGTCAGCCAGCAGTGACTTGTTCACGTTTAAATAAGCCAATAAAATGAGTATAAATAAAACGCCCGTTGTATGTATGTAGATACCTTTGGCATCTCTTGTACTTTCCTCACTTCCGACAAACAAAACGACCAACGAGCCGTGCGACTCCCTGGGGGAGGTAATCATTACAAGTGGGCATAAACGTCGCTCGGCACTACCTTGTTGGCAATGTTGGCAAGTGTGAAAGCGCTCTTGGGCCGCCTTGGTGAGTTCAGTAGGTGTAGAATATGAGTTGGCTATTTTGCTAGCCTCCAAGCAGCGGCGCTAAACCGCACTCATAAAACTGTGACAACGGTGGTTGTCCTATGAACGTTTGATACAGCATTCCTTTCTACTGGTTGGCGCCCCTTTCGTTTAGCTCTCTGGCTTTACCGTTATGCTTTTCTATTCTCTCTGCCTTCGTGCAATTAATGTCACCCCATTATTAAATGATCCCTAATTATGTGAAATGATTTTAGTCAGCAGTAAATGCTGAATATATGTATGTGTTTACGAGTAGTTATTTAAATTTATGTAGGTTGGCGGGCGAGCTGGCGAAGATTTTTGTATTTCGCGCACAATTATGTATGTATGTATGTACATATGTAGTGTGGAGTTTGAAATATTTAAGGGACTTCAGGTTTTGTTGGCAACATGTTGACGACTAATTTGGGATTGGACTAAAGTAATATACCCTTTGGCTACACAAAACGGCTTCGCTAAAACGAAGTGGTCCCTGCTCTCATTCCATGACATGTAAAGGTAAAACATGCATAATAATTAAGGCATTTAAAAAAATTAATTATTTGAAAAATGCCGAAATATTAAGAGTTGTTCTTATTTTGCGCCGAACAATATTCTATTTTGGAAAAAGAGGCAACATTAAATAACTACAGGACGAAAAGAGATGAGCTAAATAGATAGCACGGTATTTCAAAGTTTTTTTGAATGGAGATCAGGAAAGGTGGTGTGGTTGGATGAAATAATTACCTTAACCTTTAATATGACCTTCAAAAGTTAAAGTGTTTACATTTTTGTCTCTTTTTGACCTGCAACCAGTATGCAATGAATTTGTTAAAACGCTTTAGATATACAAAAACGGATTTAATTTTTTGTTTTTGTAAGGTTGCTAATAGCTAAATGGTAATTATGTTTACTTTCAGTGACCTTAACAAACTCCATGGCTTATTTTATTTTAGTGAACTTATTTTTTTTTTTTAACTTTTTACTTCATTTTTTTCCTAACGTGCAAACCAATTTGCAGTCGCTTTCCATTTAAGCAGCTAAAACCGCCTATCTTATGACACTCAAATTTTACAGGAGAGCGATAAAACGGTTTTGTTCGGAAGGCATTGCCTTGATAAGCGGTATTTTCTCCAGCTATTATTTTTCAAATCTGTTTTAAAAACGATTTTACGATTTTTATGCATAAATATCGATGCCTGACGTTCAGGGTTACAATTTACGATTTAGGTGGTTTTGCAACTGGTCGATGAGCGGTTTTGCAAAAACATCGACGATATGTAGATATAGATGTCGGTTTTAAGGACAAATTAATTTATCATTTAATTATACATTCAAAATTAGTTTCAAAGGTAAAATTTCATAATTTTTGGTTTTTTGACCTTAAAAAAAATTTGTGTATGAAATATCTGAGAAAAAGTTATAAAGAATAAAAAAAATTTAGAATTCGCTTACATACAATTTTTATTTTTATTGTTTTGTTTTTTTTTTTTACACCGAGAGATTTAACAAACAACAAGAAGCAACGCCATTAACCAAATAAAATTATCGCCAATAATAGTAAAAGTCTCCATTGTCAATTCAACGCCTTTATTCAATGTTTTTTTTTCGCAGCCCATCATCCATTAACGTTTCATAAAAATGCCATTAAATTCGTCGTTCGCTGCATTCCCCGCACCATTGCCATTTCCACTTAATTTTCATAATTTTAAAATGGCTGTGTCTCTACGCTCATTAGCATATCACTCTTAAAGGCAATCAAATTCTGGCAACCAGTTTTAACAGCGACTTCTTCTTCAGCCAATTCTATACAACTCACTACCTACTTAGTACCTTGCGTCTTGCGCGGCTCTGTGTATGGCTGCCAAAACTTTATTGTACGCTGGTTGTTTCTCGCCGCTTTTGAGCAGCCCAGCCTCTTTGTGCTCACTTCTTTCTACCTCAGCGATGATTTTGGTGACAGATACTTACAATCGCATTCTATAGCAACTTCCAGTTTCCATGCCCATATCTACATAGATATATGTAAATGCTTCTTGCCCACCACCACCACGCGTAAATTAGCAGCTGTGCAACGCATTTATAAACAATTAATAAATGCCAAAACAAACGATAAACTTTTTGGTCACATTGCTTTGTTGTTGCCATTGCTGACAGTGCCGTTGCTTTGCCTGGCTTGGCTTGTTTATATGTATGTATTTCTTTTCCTCACTATCTGCCTAGGCAGCGCGAAATTTCGCATAATAAAATTTATAATGAAATAATGACATTGTTAAAATTTTCGAAAGTTTTTAAGTAGCTTGTAAACAAGGACTTTAAAAGTGTTCACCGACAAACAAATATTGGAAATGTTCTTGCAGTTGAAGGATACATACATATGTATGTATGTAGCTATGTACATATAAGAAAAGGTGCGAGTAATAGGAAAAGTTTTGAAGGCAAAGAAAACAGAGAAGGACATGATTTCGCAATTGTGGCTAAGTTATATGTATGTATGTGTGTCAGTTCATAATCAATTAATTTATGCATTTTAAA